TTTCCAGGAGAAGGATGAAAGCTGTTTGTAGAGCTGCAGCCATGTTTAGCAATCCTTCTGTAGTTTATGCAGCAAACAACTCAAGGGAGCCTTCTAGTGAGTCATTGTTTTCCTTCCCCCACATTTTAGCAAGCCTCAGAGCAAGATGTTTTAAAGCCACCTCTATTACGTGAGTAAGAAAACAGCATCTCGGGCATACTGATGCTCAAAATTCACCTTCCTGAATCTCTAAAATGACTGAGCTCCCTTTCATGCTTACATGGCACTAATGCTCCTTCCCCAGGGAAAAGAAAGAGGAACACCTGCCTCTGTACTGGTTGGCTCTGCAGTTTAGAGCGACTCACTTTGTCTCAAAGTGACAGCTTAAGGACACCAGATGTTTGTGATGGTAAGCTGGCCTTTGTACTTTGCAAGTATTTTCTTTCTCCTTTACACACTCTTCCCCTCCTCCCCTTCCTCAGCCACTCCCCTCAGAGGCTGTTTGTACTTCTGGAATACATTAAGTTCATTTCTCATTATTTCACTGTTAATTCCTTTGATTTTCCCTTCTCAGGGTAAAGTCTACGGAATTTTTTGTGTTGATTTTTGTCTAAAGCAAGTGAAAGTTTTCTTTGATCATCCTTGTTTTGCTCATTTCGGATGCTTTGGGGGAAATCAATGTCTGTTTTTAGTATGAAGATGATGAGACTCTCCCTGCCCTTCTTTCTGCAGGCTGCTTGACCTGAATAGAGCAGATGGCAAACTATGCCTTTATGTTACTTGCTTGGGAAATAGGAGATGCTGAATCCATATGGGGATTTTAAGAGGACTAAATGGAGTGACTGGAAAACTGAGTTACAGGACTACAGATACACAGTAATGCAAAACTCAGAAAAATGCTTATCCAAGGCCTACCTTTAAACATAAGCATAAATTCCACAGACCACAGTGAAACTATTAATAAGTTTACAATTACGCTCATGGCAAAACAGCTTCCCAAATTAAGGCAAAGGATGCTTCTCGTAAAACATATAAATCTGAGGATTGAAGAAGGAATCTGAGGCCCAATCCGGCTGACTCCCACTGATTAATATTCATGTAGTTAAAATGAAAATATGCCTTCTGCATGAGATTTGTTTGCATATGGCTTGTTAGCAACACCATCATCCTCTGCACTTCACCCTACAGAGATGTTACATTACTGGTGAAAAGATATGTAATGTCCCTAAGCACTGACACTACTAGGGAAAAATCACAACCAAAGTCTTTGGGATAACGTTGCACGCTGACCCATCTCAACTCATTTTTCAACATTAGTAACTTCCATTCCTTTTCTTGACAAAAAGACAGGCAACTTCAGGCCAGTTTTGACCGTAAATCCTAAAGGATTATTGTAGATATTTAGCATAACTCTGTAAGCAAGCATCATCAGTCCTCATTGCCAGAGGCGGTTCAAGGCTTCTCAGGCTTGCAGCAAATATCCCCCTTCCTCAGGCAGAGCAGGGACCCTGCCAATCGTACAGGTACAGCACTGTCTGTGCTCCAAACATGGAACAGTTCCAACCCAGAAAACCCTGTAGTGACATAAGCCCAGCTCTAACTCAGTTAGATACCTAGCTTACCATCAGCCTGCTGGAGCTTCTCCACACATCAGAGCGTGAGCAATAGCTAGAGGACTGGGTCAACAGTAACGTCATCAAGTTCACGAGGGAGACTTGCCAGTCTCTGCACCAGGGCTGGAACGACCCCGTGCATCACTACGGCCTCTGAGCAACCAGCAAAGCTGCAGCCCTGCTGTAAGTGAACTGGGCTCACGATGGACACCAAACTGAGTATGAGCCGGCACACGCTCTCATCGCAAATACGGCAAACTGCCACACAGGCTACATTAGAAGGTGTGAGACCAGCAGACAGATGGAAGTTACTGTCCCCCTCTACTCGGTAGTGGTTAGGAATACTGTGCCTAGTTTTGGGTCCCTAGGTTCAAGAGCATGGATAAGATGGAGAGGGGAGAGCAAATGGCTATGAAGATGGTTGGGATGGACAAAACATGACCTACAGGAAGAGGCTGAAGGAGCTGGTCTTGTTTAGTCTGGTGAAGAGGAGATTAAGGCAAGATAAATTCAATCTCAACTCTTTCCAGTTCTATCAGAAGATTTTAAAAGTGACAGTGGCCCCTAACTTAAGCTTTGGCCATTCAGATTGGATGTCAGAGAAATCTTTTTATCTGGAACAATACTGCAGCACCGGAAAAAGTTACCTACAGCTTCTGTGAAATCTCTGTCCTTGAAGGTTTTCAATACTGGGCTTTACAAACCACAGCTGACCAGGCCGAGCCTTGGTTAGAGCAGGAGGTTCAATGAAACCAGAATTCCGATGCTGTGATTAGTCTCCAGCTGAATTTAGACTGATCCAGTTAGACATTTTATCCATGCTGGTCCCCCAGAGACTGTTGCCTCTCACTGGAGCTACTGCTTCAAAAATTCAGGGACATTGCTGCTGAATCTGGGATTGTTCTCCACTTGCTCTTTTCATTCCTAGAGAAGCACGGTCAAGTTGGTAACAATCTGTTGCATGTCAGTACTGTGAGGAGTAAATATGACAAACTCCTGATACCATGACCTGTATCCGATATATTCTGCCCCTTAGTAAAGGCATTTCTAACCACAGGAAGTCTACAACTGTAGAGTTCTTTCCAAAGTTTGGAAAATAATGGCAGATTAAAGCATCAGAGGTACCTGAAGTTCAATAATCAGGCACATATTTACTGGAAATGTTATCCTCTCCCTCTCACTCCCTTGCTGTGACAGTGGCATCACACGCAGCGCTACACAGAGAGTACCAGTTCTGCCAGCACCGCGGCAGGAGGCGGCGGCTAACCGAGGAGCGAAGTTTGTCCCTGTGGCTGGGCGAGCACGGTGCCGTGCCTGCAGCGCAGGGCGAGGACCCTGGCAGCACGGCTGTGCCCGCGGCCGGCGGTGGCCCTGCGGCCATACCTGCGCTGCACAGCCGCCCGCCGCCTTCGCCTGGGCGGCCATTTAGTGAGCTCAGGAATGAAAAAGAAAGGAAAAAAAGAAAAAAAAAAAAAAAAAAAAAAGAAAAAAAAAAGGAGCGGCTGCCTCTAGCTGCATCAGAGGTGCTTCGCCACCTACAAGCTGCAAGAAAAAATACTTACTGAGCAAACGTCGTCACGTATCTGTGGAGACTTCTGGTTTAAAAAGTGGAATCAGAAATTCAGTTCAGTGTTTCGGGGCAATTTTTGGCCTCTCAAAAGAAACACAAGTGTCACTGGTGACGTATTTATTTGCCATATTATGTGCTATAGCGACATATGCTCATAAGCATTCCTTTTACAGTTCTCAGTTGCTGCATAATTGCCTGTCTCTTGTTCACTGTATGGCAGCAGCACTGTTAACCAGTGAAGCTAACCACGACCAAAGAGCGTATACCCTACACTCTTTCTGTCAGTTGGCTGCAAAGCGCAGTTAGTTGCAGCATCAGTTACAGCTGACTTTAAGTCAAAACTACTAGTTCTTGAAGCATTAGCAAAGGTTACTCACTTGAATTAAAAGTGTTGTTCAAGAGCCTCATCTCCATACATTATGGAGCAACACATAACCAGCTAAAAGATACAGAGAAACATCCCTGGAGTCAAACTGTCCGCACTGGCAACAATACTGATAGAGTATGTGTGTACAAGATGAAGCAATGAACTCTCCTAACACATTTCAATCTGCTTTAATATACCACTGCCTTTGGCACCAGAAAAGTTAATTTTCATGATCTTTATCTGCAGTGCAATCATTTTTTCCTGTAATGAACTCCTGAAATTTAATTTCATTTTATCTTATTAAAGCTTTTTTTTGCTGTTGCTGTTAAAGAAATGTGCTGTGTAACACATAGGATAAGTTGGCAATATTCAATGATGACTTCTAGAAAGATGAAGTTTTAATAATTATTTATAGTACAGGGTATACAACACCCCTTGAAATACATGTATTGCTGTTATATCAGTTAATTAGAATAAAAATTTCTGCCAAGAAACCTATAGTTAGCAGCACTGCAGTGTACAGTGAAGTAATGGAGTGGGAGTATTTTTTTTTTTTTAATTTATGAAGGAAGATTCATTGCTGTGAGGCTAAACAGGTGGTAGAGCTGCTCACAGCTCTTTTGGGACTGATTGCCACTTTGATGCTTGGCATCTCAGAGTTTCCAGCAAGCTCAGTCACAACATCCTGGGATTGAAACATCAGTTTCTTTAGGGGATCATATATTTCAGATGGTAAGATACGCTTTTTCATCAAAAAGCAGAAAACAAAATAAAAAAAAGATTTTTTTTTTTTTTTTAATTTTATTTTAAGAAAAGCACACAGCAGAGTGGCTTAGCTTCCTATAAATCCTGGTCACCTAATGGAGTGGCATATCTCTCCAGTTTGAAGCTTGGCTACCAATACTCCTTACGGTGTTCAACTGAACACTTTTTTTCTTCCAGTCACATGGAGACTCTCAGTATTTCAAAATTGCCTAATGGATTTCCCAGTGCAACGGAACTTCAGCTGAGAAATCCTGCTGCAACTGGACAGGAGGCTGGCACTTCCTAGAGAAAAATTTAACCTTTGTACTAACAAATATCAGCAAGCACTACTACCTTATTACCTTTTCCTTTGTGTGCACATACCATTAACGTGTGTCCAGCTGAAATTTTAAACTTCTTGGGAAGGGACTTGATCTTTCAATGTGTATATACTATATGACATTGCACAAGGCAATTTCTTCCACCCTTAAACTTAAGCATTCTGTGTAAGAATATCCCTAGAATACATATGAACATCTAAGATCAACTCCATTTTTATAATGTCCAGCAAACACACTGGAAAACGCTGATCCTTAGAGCAATATGATCAATTCCTTTGGTTTATCAGAGGGATTGACAAAATGAATACCAAATGTCATCCTACTGACTTGCCTTGACACACAGGCATGCTTGCATTTGGATAGGCATTGGATAAATAGGTACTCACATTCCATAAAATAGGGACCAGGTTCAATTCGCCACACAATTTGTCCCTTTTGCGTGCCAGTCACTCCCCGATTCTTGGAATCCCAGAAATTGGCCGGAGAGTTCTCATCTGAAAGAGGAAAGAAAAAAAATAAAATTTATCAAGTAGTATTTATAATAGTAGTTTTCTTGGTTTTCAGTTTGAAGAAGTCCAGATTCAGAAAATGACTTGTGTCTAAGAAAAAAATAATTAAAAAATCAAACTAACTGGCAAAAAGATAAATGGCTTCTCTTTTACAGTCGATAGATCAATTTATGCAGAGCAAGCAGACATACATACAGCCAAAGTAAATATATGGTTTCCTGTAAGAGGTGACCTGCCAAGGTAAAGTATTAAATTCCAAAACTCCCCTAACTCAACAGAGAGGCCATTGGGAGTGTAAAGCTGACAAACTTCATCACAGAGTTACCACACTGTTTTATACAGTGGTCCTGCTCTCTGATGTGAAAATCTAGCATTCATTCCCTAGCTAGGAAGTATGGAATTGCAACTAGAGGTATCAAGGCTTACTTCAGTAATATATTCCTGTGTTTACATACACCAAAATAATCTGACACTTTCAGTTTCCTGACAGGTACGGAATTATTCCCTCTCAGTGAAGCCGAGTTAGAGGCTCAAAGAACAGAACTGTCACTTAGTAAGCCGGAGATACAAATCAGATTCAGCAAAATACATTCAAAAGATAACGGAGAAGCAAACCGTAAGTATCTGCAGATCAGCTTAGCAGTATCAGTATTTTCTCCTCTCCTCTCTGTCTTAACAGTAACAAACACATGTCCTGGGTTTTTTGTTTTTTTTTTTTATGCACCAGCCTGTATTCAGGCACCCAGAATGCTGTATGAATGAAACTAAACCAGAGTGAGCAGCTGTTTGAAGGGGCACAAAGGTTAGTTATGATGACCTAGAGGAAGCTGACAGAAATCCAACTTAACTCTTTCACACCAGAAACTCTTTGGAAGCTTGCATCATAATATTTTACAAGTGCATTTAGGCAACTGTTTCTTAATTAGACAATTATACCTGCAACCTCAAATACAACATCCTAATTCTTTCCAATGGTACTTGATATCCCTCAGTCTTAAATTTGTTTTTAAAAATATTCTGGTTTATTACATACATTTGAATACATTCTGCAATCTTGAAAAGACTTCACTAAGACCTTAGTCTACTGTGGCTTTGGTCATGAAGCTCCTATCCATTCAAGCACGTTTTCTTTGTACTTTGGTAGGAACTCCCACATAAATAAGATTACAGAATTGTCACCTACATTTTAGAAATCCATATGCTATTTATGAAAGAATAATAAGCAATGCAGCTTTGTTACTTCTGTCATATGAAGACAAACTTACACTAAAGCTTCTCTTTCCCCTTTTCATTCTGACTGCTCATCTCAGTGTATGCAAGATAACCCTACTGAATCAGGATTAGTGCAATCTCTACATTCACATCCCATCAAACTGACAAGCAAAGCATTACCATTACCAGACACACACTGGACTTCTGTGATTGCTCAAGATAAGTTACACACCCTGTCCACAACCTGGAAGAGCTCTGAAGAGCCAAGCTGCTCACATATTTATGCCTCCAGGCATGGGCGACTGAGAATTTTTAGAAAGCTGTGGGCTGAACACTTCAACATCATGCTGACTCCAGAGTAGTTTCATAATTATCTCAATGACAACGAGAAGGGGCAGGAGGGTTCTTCTAACGCCTGTGATCCTCAAGCACCTAATACCCTCAGGCTTAACTTTTCCATGTTAGCACTTGAACTGCATACACCTTAAAGTCAGGCACACAGGCAGCAAAACCTTAAAACAAGCATAATTATTCTTCATTACACCGAAAAAAACTTGCAGAGTAAACAAAGCTGTACCTCACCCATGTATTTCTTCTTTTCAAAGCTGTATAAAGAGGAACTCTGAAAGTACAGGCTGTAAAGCATCCCATGGGCCTCAAAAGAAAATAACCTCTGTATGCAGTTTGCAATTACACCAACTGAAGCAATATACTGTTGACTGACTCTTTTTTTTTTTTTTCCCGAATGTGCCTTCCTAACCCAAGGCCCCACTATTATCTTCCACAGACAAAACTTGAGGAAGCCATGAGATACAGCTTAACTTCCAACAAATCTACATTAGTGCCTATTTTTGTCTACCATACAAACTTGCTTATCCAAACCACCGCTACCAAAAGCAAGCAGATTCTTTAAAAACTCCACAGTTACCTGAAACACAGATAATTTTAAATTATTCAGTGTCCTCATCACATCTAGATAAATAAAGATGTATTGTATGACAAAAAACCCACCTCCCCTCACATGCTCTAGTTCTTCTGAACATCTGTATTTAATCAATTGGAGAAGAGTCTGTTAATAATTTTAAAGCATAAGGACAGATATTTGGTATAACTGTAAACATGAAATTTTTTTATTCTTATCTTGTTCAAGAATTCAAGAAACTCTGAAGCAATGAAATATGCCTTTAACAGTGAGATTTCCAACATTAAGCCATAAGCAGTTGTTCTTTGTTTTTTAAAATCAGTAACTTAGTAAAGTCAATTGTAATTTTTAGAGGGATATTACTGAGCTTCATGAAGTGAGTCTTGAATTCCGAGCTGCAAGTTAGAAGAAAGCAGAACATTTTCTTACACCTTATTTAATAAAATCCGACATTTAAGAAAGTACCTGGATTTTCTGTCATGAAGGAACAGTCTCCTCTGCAGCAATTAAGACTAAGTCACTGATACCCTGCCCACAGGCATGCTGCCCTTGCAACAGAAGGCAGTGGAGACAGAGGGGTGAGAAACGCTGACAGACCACTGCCTATCAGAAATTGACTCAAATTACAGAATTTATCTTGGATAGCTTTGATTTTTCTGAAACAGATATTTTTCTTCTACTTTTATGATGTTATTCACATAGGGGAAAAATATAACATTACTAATGCATATGGAAAAATAACTTCAAACCTCAGTTCATGTATTTTAAGAAAAGAAACTGAGCAGCAAAAAAAAATAATCAAATAGCATGAAAACATTGAAGTACACAATATTGCTGAAATTTACTTATCAACACAGCAATAAAAAAGTTAAACAGTGATAGCCTCAGTAATATCCAGCTGTGCAAAAAAAAAAGTGTTCAAGAATACAAAAAGCCATGTCAGAATTACCACAACTTCATCTCTCCTCTTCCCCAAAACATATATATGCATGCACACACACACACACACACACGCTATACATATTCCATAGGGAACTTAAATTCTAAGAAGTTCTAGTCCCCTTTTAGCACATAATTGTTGCTGTTTGTGAAACTGGAGGCTGTTCTAGAATCTGGGCCAAGGAGCAGATATAAATATCCCTTCCCAGAACATAAAATATGCAACAAAATACTGTCTTGCTGCACTGGTATCTTGTCCAGTGAGTCTACACTTCTGAAAGAAATAAAATGATGCAAGACACACAGTATCTTTCTATATTCAACAATTCTTAGACACAAAATAATACAGAAAGTAATTTATTTCTCACAGCTGTAACCCCTGCACAAATCAGCACCTGTGAGACATGTTCTATGATGAAAAGTGGGTAGTAATAAATGTATCACTGTGTAGAACTTTACACTAACTAGTGCTCCTCAAAATCATTGCAAAGCAAACGTGCTCTGAGTAATGATGGTTTCTTTATTTAACTGCTAAGCAAACAGTCAAACCTAGTATTAAGAACTGAACTCGCTTCCACTTTTAAGCTTCACCATCATTACAACACCCTTTAAGTTAGATACCACCAGCCTCTGTAACACCCATGTCTTGTGCTCTCCATGTCAGCACTGCAGTTTCTCCACCTGTGACCACAGCTCTGCCCTTATGTGACAGTGAATGGGATGCAGCTCCCTCCAGCATGCGTCAGTTTGGTACGGCTATCTTATGTGAAAAACAGTGTGGAAATACTGGATAAATGGGTGAATGGTGCAATGAAAGAAGAAAGTATCGTTTTTACAGAATTAGTTTTCACAATAAAATTATGCCCATAAAAGAGTAAGAGCCCTAACAGCTCCAATACGCCCATGCCTTTCCTGTACTGGGAGCCCAGAACGGACCCAGCACTCCAATGTGTCTCTCCGGTGCGGAGCAAAGGGGTAGCCCCACCTCCCTCGACCTGCTGGCTGAGGCTCTTCCTATGGCAGCCCAGGATGCCCGGGGGTGGCCTGGGCACACGTTTGCTCTTGCTCAACTCGTTTTCCACCAGGACCTCCAGGTCTTCTGTGAAGCTGGTTTCCAGAGAGTCAGCCCCCAGCCTGTCCGGGTGTCAGGGGTTATTCCTCCCCAGGCACAGGACATGGCATCTCCCTCTGAATCTCGTGACATTCCTGTTTGCCCATTTCTCCATCCTGTCTGAATGGCAAGACAACCATCTGCTTTATCAACTGCTACTCCCAGTTTTGCATGAGGATGTTATGGGCATGTTGAAAGCCCTGCTAAACTGACATCAGGGCTCACGAGGCTCCTGTGTAGTTCACGTTTTGTTCTTTCTGTCTTACAGCTTTCACTACTTCTGACTTAGGAAAAAGGATGAACTACCTGAAATCCATTACCTTACAGAGTCATCTTGCATAGCTTAAATCAAAAAACAAACAAACAAATAAATAAGACACAGTCTTTTATAAGATAGCTAAAAACCAAGAACTCCTACTAATTAAGATCTGAAACAAGCCTTACAGTCCCAGTGCACAGACTGGAATGTTCATCTTCTGGTCCCAGTTTCTGTGGTCAGTAGTGTTAAGCTATGTGAGAAAAGGCTTGTCTCTGAATACAAAGGATTTTTATTCTTCAAATACCAAAACATAGTCACAAACTCCTAGTGTGGAAACATCACAGACTGCTTACTGCATATGAAAAAATTTAGAAGTTCCCTGTAGCAATCTAAGAGCTTCAAACTTTAGCATATTGATCTCTTTTCTGCAACACATTTATAAATATGCTTATATGCAGAGCTCAGAGAGAAGGTGATGCTTAACAGATTCTGAATGTCACTGAATGGTTTTAATTATACACAATTTTTAAATTTTCATCTTT